GTATTATAACGTGGTAAAAAGCATTTTTTGCTTCTTATCAGAGACGGATTTGGTGCACTTGTACACTGTCCCTATTAAATAAACTACAAATAATATGTATATATATATATGATAAACTAAACCAGTTGCGTAATATCACATTAAAATACCTGTTTATACTTCAAAGATTTAACTTAAATTCAGGGTCTTATGGTGGGGCAAGTTAAAATGCTGGCTCAATTTGCCCCACAGCTGCCATTTTGAAATAAACTAGCTAGCTTACCAATTAAGGTTAATATTTATCTAAATTATTTAATATGTTGCTAAATCACCTATATGCATCATAAATATTTTAAGAGCTGGATGAATTTGCTTTGATGTATCAGCCAATATATCTGATATGCTAAAATTTTACTTTGACAAGCCAAAAAGTTTTTTAATTGGGTGCTTTCCACTCCTCTCATGTGAAACAGGGTGGGTCAACTTACCCATGGGCTCATCTTACCCCAGTCTCCCCTAAAGTTGTCTTTAAAATGAATGTAGTGTCGCAGACATGCTGTGGCAGGTGAGACTGTGTAACAGTCCCTGAGGTGGAACTGGATTTCCTGGAGCAGTTCTCAAAGTGATGAGAAGCTGATGATGACGGGTCTGGATACTGTGGAAGATTTTTATTGGTCAAACTATGAATTGTTCAAGTATAATCATTGTGAATATAACCATTTATGTATCAAGTTATTTTACTATTATAATCGTGTATTTGCCTGTGTGCAGACAGGCCTGCATAGGAATGGCATAGAAGTCTGTATGAGGGGCAGACACATGGTGGGGCTGCATGTCCTGTTTTGACATAAGACAAAATATATGATGGGGGCCCTTACTTTCACGGAACATAAAATTAAGGCTTCCTGTCTGCATCTTGGTAGCAGACTGGAAACACAGCCAAAAAAGGTAAACCATAACAAATATGTATGAAATATATTGAACACGCCTAGAGGAAAAACAGTATAAAAGACTGTCCAGACATAGACTCGATTTTCTGCAGATTATCTCTAGACCGCATTATCTCTCTGATAATAAAAGTCTATTTTTCTGGCATCAAAACCCCAAGGCTTCAAGAGTGATTCTTCATAGAAAAGGCAGGAGCCACCAAAATACCTGCTGTAAAACATGATGTGGCAAGTTTGAAAATGAGGAAGTGCTTATTAGATTTCATTTCAGTCAGTAATGTACAGTATGACAGAAATGTGTCCCTCGGCAAAAGACAATTTTTGCAGTTCACAGCAGCGGGGGATGCAGTGCAATACTCTTTGGTCCAGAGCATAACTGTTCCCCTTTTAAACAGGTTACATAACCTCTGACGTCTAATTGAATATTGCTCATCTATAATGAGACTTCAAATTTATCTATATGTATGTTTTTATGCATGTGTGTGTGTGTAAATATATATATATATATATATATATATACAAAATATTCTGGAATTCAATACAAGTTAAACTCAAGCAACAGCATTTGTGGCATAATAATACATTTCAAATACAATCTAGGTTACAGTAAGACACTTTCAATGAAAGTGAATAGAGCAAATTTTTGGAGGATTTAAAAGAATAAATGTAAAGTTTACAATTTTAGAAAAAAAAAACATTTCTTTTCAACTTGTAGTTGAGTACAGCTCAATTTGTTCTTGTCATCTTTAGTCAATTTAGTTGTTTAATTGTCATGTAACTTTCATTGGAAGTGCTTTACTGTAACCCAGATTTTTTTATCTTGTCGAAATTAATCATTGTATTGAACCTGGAATGTTGTAAGTAATTGTGACATTATTGTGTGCAGTTAGATTAAATATGAACTCTGCGCTTGGATATTACACCTTGATCAAATCACATCTTAGACCACCCATTCTGTTTATAGCTGTTTATATAATTGCCGTCTTGCTAAACTCACAATAAATCTGTCTCTATAAACTTACATACACCTATAAAACTGGAATAGATGATAATGACTTTTTTATTTTTTTTACAGTGGAAAAAAATGATAAAACCAAACCTTACTTGTATACTGCACAATTGTCTTTCTTCATTTTTTTTTTATACTTATCTCTAAAAACCCAAACAAAAAAGTATCTTTTTTGATGGAATAATATTTTATACACTATATACACTGGAAAAAAATTACATCGACCTTGAAAACAGTAGTGAGTTTATTAGCCAGAATATTACCTTGGTTACTGTTTTGTAGACTGGGTGAGTTTGTGGGTTTGAGATTTACGCTGTTTGCTTTAATAAAGCACACATGGTTCAATTGATCTAGTGCAGCAACTTCCAAAGAGCACCTTTCTGTATCTGACAACTGCGTCAATGCACCTGACAATGGTGGATGACAATAGTTGACAGTTGTCAACTAATAAACCACAAAGTTTTATTTCAAAATTATTAATGCATGTGTTCCACTGCATGGGTGTTGAAATTCTTTCAGCGAGCAACATTTTGCATGCTAAAGCTTGTCCAGTAGAGAAATGTATCACCTGTCAAATGTTCAGTTCATATTTCAGTGCTTTCATTTTTGAATATTGTCCAGGGTAAAATTTCCACTGACACTGTCAACATGATTTAAGTAATAGTTAAGCCAAAACTGAAAACGTACTCACCCTCAGGGCAGGTCTTTCAAGATCTAGATGTTTCTTCATCAGAACAGATTTGGAGAAATTTAGAATTACACCACTTGCTCACCGATGGATCCTCTGCAGTGAATGGGTGCCGTCTGAGAGTCCAAACAGTTGATAAAAACATCACAATAATCCACACGAGTCATCAATTAACATCTTGTGAAGTGAGAAGCTGCATGTTTGTAAGAAACAAAATCATTTTTTAAAGGAATCTCATTCTGACGGCACCCATTCACTGCAGAGGATCCATTGGTGTGCAAGTGCTACATTTCTCCAAATTTGTTCTGATAAAGAAACAAATTAATTTACATCTTGAATGGCCTGAGGGTGAGTACATTTTAAGAAAAGTGTCATATTTGGGTGAACTATTTCTTTTGAAGGAGTAAAATCCTGGATCCACGGCCGCTTACATACATGTCTTTTGTGTGTTTGTTAATCAAGTTATTAATCATTATTTAACCTCTTAGATTTTAGTTGATTAAATGCAGGTATGAGCTTTTAATCTTTTAGTAGTTAGTCACTCTCTCCTTGTTTTTCAGAAAGTTCTTTCCATGCTAAACATATATTTACTCAGGCCCACTTTGACAGCTTATGTCACAAAGGTCATCAGGGCCCCTCAGCTACGTGACTATCTCATCGTTAGAACATTTACTTTGTTCTCTATCCCTGAATATTAAAGAATAAAGTTGATTATTGTGTGGACTTCTCTCCCTTTCTCTCGGAGAAGCTGCACTCATTATCTTTTGAAAAGGACCTGATAAGAGTACGAGCCTGGGGAACTCAGCCTTGAAGAAGTTGCGAATTCTCTATGTGTGTGTGTATTGGTATTTGTGTTCACAAGACAAAATCTAGTCCCACCATATACTTTGTCTTGTTCAAGACAAAGTGTAGAAATACATAACAATAGAAGAGAAATGACAATCAAAATTTCCATTTCATGCCAACTTCAAGTAAACTTTCAATAAAAAGATGAATGTAAAATGAGATAAAAATGAGTATGATAATTAAATACAGGAGTGAACCATTGTTCTGTGAATAGTGGAGACACAAGACATCTATGATTTTATATTCTTGACAGTCTTGATGGAAGGTAAGACAGAGACCTTTCTGGTTGTTATAGAGCAATGAAAAACATTTGCATTATTCAAGTCACTTTTAGTGCTTTATACAATATAGATCTATGGAAGCCCGTTTCCGCCACTGAATAAAAAATAAAAGAGGTAATTGCGACTTTTTATCTCACAATTCTGACTTTTTTTCCACAGAATTGTGAGATATAAACTCGCAATTGCGAGTTATAAAGTCAGAATTGTGAGTTATAAAGTCAGAATTGCGAGTTTGTATCACGCAATTCTGAGAAAAAAAAGTCAGAATTGTGAGATAAAAAGTCGCAATTACCTTTTTTTTTTTTTTTTTCAGTGGCGGAAACAGGCTTCCATAGAGATCTTTCAAAGCAGCTTCACAGTATTAAACAGGAAAGTAACAGAATCAATGATGCAAACTTCAAAACTGGAGCAAATCCTAATTCTGCTCTAAAGTAGCTGTAGCAAGACAATAGTGTCTTTATTCAGCTTCAGTCAGTTCGGTGTTGGTTTAGTTCAGTAACTATTTGAAGTTAATTCATTATGAAACCAGTTCAATTTAGCGATTAAGCAGCTCTACCGAAAACAGTAGTGACATTATTCAGCTAGAGAAATAATAATGTTGATTCAATTGAGTTCCAGCAGGTTGAAACATGAAGGCAGAGCTGCTGTTTAGATAGCAGTAGGCAACTGGCTTACCGATGGCCATAAAATGTGTTTTGGTTCCAGCTGGTCCTAGCATGATATGCTCATAGCTGGCTGTAGAGATCTGTGCCCAGAGCTCATCTAGTTCTTAGGTTTATCATCTCATCTCATCTCATCAGGGTCTTCACTGATTGTGAACGGCTGTGTTGTGGCCGTTCCTGGGTGCAGGTCCAATATCTGGTCGTATTTCTAAGCTGTTTATTCCCTTTTTGCTTCTTTGTTGTTTCTGGCCTGAGCCATTGCCACCTTTGTTTTCTAGATTGACCTGTTTTTTTTTGTTGTTGTTGTTTTTTTCTTATTTATTGGTCTATAGCAGAGCTTCAGCCATGAACAAGTGCTTCCTGACATTACCGAATCCCATAACTTAGCAGAAAGGGCTTTACAATATATTGTCATTACATTTTTTGAAGCTATTTGTGAATAGGAAATGGATTTTGTTAAATTACAGTATGTAAATGAATGATTGTAGGCCATTTCAAACCAATTTTCTTTTCTAGACTTTAGTTCATTACCGCTCCTTCACCTGCTGTTTGGAATTGGCTGTCTGTTTGCTCTCTCTCTCTCTCTCTCTCTCTCTCTCTCTCTCTCGATCTCTCTCACTTGTGTTTGTTCTGTTTGGAATCTGTTCATCTTGGATTTGATTGGATTTCAAAATAAAGGCTTATCTGAATAATTTGTCATCCGAGCTCTTTAGTACTGTAAGAATTACAGAACCTCAGACACTTTGATCTTCTGAGACAGACAATACACACACAGTGCATTAACATACAGACATCTGTCTCCACACCTTTTTTTGAAAGCCCCAATGAATACTTTTTAAACATTTTTAGTGGTTAGAGAGTCAGACTTGTAACCCGAAGGTCGTGGGTTCAATTCTCAGTACTGGCATGAATTTTAGGTGGGGGGAGTGAATGAACTACGCCATCTTCCACCCTCAATACCCACGAGCAAGGCACCGAACCCCCGATTGCTTAAATGGCTGCCAGGTGTGTGTCCTCAGTGTGTGTGTTCACTATGCACTGCTGTGTATACTCACTTGGATGGGTTACATGCAGAGCACAAATTCTGAGTATGGGTTAACACACTTGGCTCCACGTAACGTCACTCACTTAGAATGTTTATTCAGCAGAATCTGACAGAAATGTCTTCTCTTCCGTGTCTTCAACATGTGTTCATGAGAATACAATGAAGCATGTGTGCGGTGTTGCGGATGCAGGAGCCGGCGTTCTGGTCTTTCTTAGTTCATCGTCTGAACATTCTGGTTCAAATATGTAAGGCTGGGCAAAAAATTGCAAGTCATCCTCTCTGTCGACATCTTCAGACATGTTTTATGTACAGCATGTGTCTTCCTCTGCTGTAAACCAGGTGAGAAGCATCCGGGTTCTACATCAAAACGCTGACTCCTGCTTCTGCAGCACCACACGCAAGTGTCTTGGTACTCTTGTGAACACGAGTCGAAGACTGACACGGAAGAGAAGAAATTGTTGAATAAAGCTGTTATTTTTTTCTTTGCGCACAAAAAAGTATTCTCTTAGCTTCATAAAATTAAGGTTGAACCACTGATGATGTCCTTACTACTTTTGTGGGCCTTGAACGTGGTAGTCATGTTGCTGTCTGGGTCAGAAAGCTCTCGGATTTCATCAAAAATATCTTAATTTGTGTTCCGAAGATGAACAAAGGTCTTATGTCTTACCGACATGAAGGTGAGGAATTAATGACAGAATTTTCATTTTTGGGTGAACTAACCCTTTAAGGCAAATTCCTGTCACTGTCAAAAAAAATCATGTCACTGGTCAGATACAGTAAACCTTTATAGCTTTATAGCAGAAAGAAAAGACCTTTCATTAAATAACTTGTTATATATCAACCTCTTAAAGTAACTAGTTTCCTCTTAAAGTAAAACTAAACAGTATTAGTCTTTCAGACTGTTGTATATTAACTCAGTGTTTATTTTTGTTTATATATATATATATATAAAATGTTATTCTCTTTGTGTGTAAAAGTTGCAACAAACGAATTGTAATGTAAGTTGCACAAGGTACACATAAATACTGTACAGGTTGCATTAGATAACTTATTGTTTGCTTATCACTGTTCAGTCAGACTGATTTTTTCCCCCACTTCAGTTCTACATAAAGTATTTGGACACTTACGCCACCTGTAAAATGTACGTCAGTGCATTGGATAAATGTAATTGTCCTGCTCTATGCATGCATGCAAATTCATAGAATGGTTCATAAAGGATGCAAGTGAGACGGGTTGCAGTAAAAGTAGCGGAGTTTACGACTTCCTGTTACTCCCTGTTCGTTAACATTCTTCCCAAAACCCGCAGATACGGGGACAGATCAGCCTGTAGTAACGATTCTGGTAAGGGGGCGTCATCCGTTAAACGTGTGCATTTTGGATTTGCAATTCTGCCATATAAACGCTCACGACATCACTGTGATCTGAAGACGCTCATAAGGTCAGGCAATCGGCGAAGAACTGCGAGGACGGGAAATTAAATTGATCCGAAAACCAGGTAAGCCTATATTCGTGCATTTTTATCATTTGTAAATTTAATTTATAAAGGGTGCTGCAGAATTGATACAAGAAGCAGGTTGTCTTAAATAGACTTTTAAATGAAATAACAGTAAAACTTGAGTAGAATCATTAAAATCACCCCTCAGCCTTTATGACTGACTATTGTACTTTGATATGTTGAAAACACGTGCTATATAACTTTATAGAACACCAGCGTCGTCCACATTTCTCTTTCCATTTGCGGTGTCTTTTCAAACACCAACCTTTAAACTTTTCGACGACACTGTTCATTCTTGAAGTGAACTTCATTACTTCGCTGCTTGGCAACCGTAATGAACTATTTTGTTTGGCGAAATAAGTGAACGTTAACTGTTTATTGAACGCGTATGTTATGGCAATTTTGCTGTTTTCGCGATAAACCACGAGTGGCTTTAAATTAAATGATACCATATTCATTTAGCAGACGCTTTTATCCAAATAAGCGACTTACACATGAGGATGCATCATAAAAAGGCAATAAACACGAGAAGTAGGCTGATACAAAGATTCAGACATCGTTTAGAATAGGACTAGTTAGAGCAGTGAGGGATTAAGGCATAGTGAATGCAGAGGAAGATTTTTTTTCTTCTCAGAAGGATGGATTTGAGTGCTGACGGAAGTGTCAAGTTTTCAGTCGTTTCTTGAATAATGTAAGAGATGCGGCGTTCGGGATGGGGTTGGGAAGATAATTCCTCCAGCAAGGAACAGTAAACAAAAACGTTGTAAACAGATTTTGTGCCTCTGTGACTTTGTGTGCCGCCTCATGGTACCACGAGGCGGACTGTTCATCGGAAGAACCGGGATAATTCCCGGTGACCTGGCAACCGATTTGACTCGCTGCCCTGTTCTTTTATATCCTCCTGACTACCAGGAAAAAACAGTTTTGTGAATTTAGTATTTTGTCATGTCAAATCGGAAGAACCGGGATAATTCCCGGTGACCTGGCAACCGATTTGACCCGCTGCCCTGTTCTTTTATATCCTCCTGACTACCAGGAAAAAACAGTTTTGTGAATTTAGTATTTTGTCATGTCATTACATTGTTTAGAGCATAAGAAAAATTTGAAAATGTGTAAAATGGCCATAAACAAGTTTTTCCATTATATACAATGTATATATGAACTATCTAATTTGCATATTAATGTGTTTTTGGGGCAAAATAGAATGAACAAATCAGTGCAATAATGGGAGTAATAATTAGCAATATTTTCATAATAATATCTAATATTTAATAGGAATATTGATACATAATTTTTTCTCTATTCAGTTGTTGTGTCTCTCAAAATGTGCAATAAACATGCTTTAAGTTCTGGTGTCCTCTACAGTGGACATGAAATCGACGTCCTGTTTCATAACAGAAGGTCATATTTTGATTTGAAACCCCATAACATTTTCCTGAGATGTTGATTTATGACAAACAATTTGAAAATTAGTCAGATTTAAATGATAATTACAAAATATTATATTTCCATAAGGGTGTTACACTTGATCACTAAAATAATATCAGTCTTTTTTAAAGACCAAGGAGAGGGAGTGGTCATGGTGAAACATCCAATAATTTGGTATCTGAAAAGCCCTGAATGTGGTCTGTACAGGACATCCAGACCTAAAACGGTGACATGTAACGTCTCAGAGAAATCACTAAAACATAATGTCCTCTACAGAGGACAAAACTCCATAGCTGGTAGTCAGGAGGATATATTTATATATGTATAATGTAGCTACTAAATCGATTATTTCCGAATTCGCCATTAGATTAAAAAATCTCCAATAAATCATGATAGTAGTCGTGACTGGCAACACTACGCTTCTACTCGCGCGCGCTCCGCACCTCCGCCAAACGGTTTCGATCAGATTAGCCTAATAATCAATGCAGGTTTCTGGAGGGGATGTAGACTCCTAAAAGCAAGTGGAGGCTAGGAGGGTGCAGAGACCGTGCATGTTCTGTATGCAAATATCAGTAACTTGATGCGAGCCGTAATTGGTAAGTTAGTGCAGAGAGATAAACATAGGTGTTACGTGGGCTCCTGCTGCTGCGTTCTGAATCATTTGTAGAGGTTTGATTGCACATTATGTAAGTCCAGACAGAAGAGCATTGCAATAGTCCAGCGCAGAAATTACAAGGGCCAGGACGAGAAGTTGCATAGCAGTTTAGTATATGTGGAGAAGTGGAGCGGTCCAAGGACTGATCCCTGGGGAACCCCTTTGACCAGTTGATATGGATACCTACGATGATTTGGAATCATCTTTCGCGATTCGCAGTGCTTTAGTGACCGAGAGCAAGGCAGTCTCAGTTGAGTAGCCGCTTTTAAATCCTGATTGGTTCTTGACCAGCTGGTTATTCTGAGAAAGAAAAGATCTTACTCAAATGAAAACAACATGCTATGAATGGGAGAAGAGAGACAGGTCTGTATCTTTCTACAAGTGAAGTGTTTAGCTTAGTGTAGGTTTTTTAAAGCAGTGTCCTGCTTGAATGCTTTGGGTAAAGTGCCTGTGAGGAGAGATGCCTTGAAATACTTTTGTATTCTCTCGCAAAATGTTTTATTTCCAATTAGTTAAATGACGACGATGATGATAATAATAGTAATAATAGGCTAAATCAGGGGTAGGCAAGTTCGGTCCTAGAGAGCCGCAGTCCTGCAGAGTTCAGCTCCAACCCTATCAAGCTCTGAAGGGTTACTAGGGAGCTACAGGCAGGTGAGTTTTAATTAGGGTTGGAGCTGAACTCTGCAGGGCTCTCTAGGACCGAACTTGCCTACCCCTGGGCTAAATGATCATTAGACTACGACAGATTATTTCCTTGTTTGTTGTGCATAGTGCCTGTGATATCCAATAAAATGCAATTTAGTTTACATTACATAACTCACTTGATTTTTGCTGATTTTTAAAATTTTGTAATTTTCCTTTTTGGTCCTCACCTGTTACAGTCTATATTACCTGTTTGTCTATGGATATTTTTGTCTATTAGTGTCCAAAAAGAAGCTTCCCAAAAAATGAACATCTGTTCCATTGAATCAGCGCTCCTGTCAACCAGTTGTGGAAAGTATGTGTGCATTGAAGGCAGGCGCAGACGCAGGCCCAGTCAATCTCTTGAGCTGGTCATGGAAAATCGACAGGAAAAAGACCTTGAAAACTCATCTAAAGGTCTGAACCGGTGTTGTTCCACTGAATGCTTCATATGTTTCTTTGGTTTTCTAGAACTGGCCTCAGTAACTCTTAAATTAAGATTTTTGGAGACTGGACTGTTTGGGTTCTGTCTATTCCATGTTATTTTTTTTTTTAAATTATAACTAGTTGTATAATGGAGCAAGGAATGACTGTGATAACGTCGTTAGAATCGCAGTGATTATGTGTCTGTGACACAGTAATTAATATCTTACACATAACTGTATAATGTGATGATGTTCATATGTCATTTTTAGTTACTTGTTTTGTACAGTAAAGTTCAGATTTTTTTAAAATGTAAAATTTAATCTAAAACGTTTTTATTGAAGTCAACAAAAAAGAAAAAGCAAATATAGCAGTTAGAAATAGTAAATCAGAATCCGAATGAGCTTTATTCGCCAATTGTGCGCAAACACACAAGGAATTTGTTGTGGTTTCCAGGGGGCTCTGTGTAAATAGCTTCATATACATACGTACATAACACTAAATAATAGAAAGAGCATTTAAATAAGTGAGATTAAGAAAATAAAATTAGAAAATATATTAAAAATAAAAATAAAAAATAAATTGTTTCTTCATTGGAACAGATTTTGGAGAAATTTAGCATTACATCACTTGCAGAATGAGAGTCCAAACAGCTGCTAAAAACATCACAGTAATCCATGTAGTCCATACTACATAATATAACGCTTCCGTCAGTGAAAATGCATCCCCTGTTGTCCTCCCACATCAATCTTGTGGATTATTGTGATGTTTTTATCAGCTGTTTGGACTCTCATTCTGACGGCACCCATTTACTGCAGTGGATCTACTGCTGAGCAAGTGATCTAATGCTAATTTTCTTCAAATCTGTAACAAACTCATCTACATCTTGGATGGCCTCAGGGAAAGTAAATTTTCAGCAAATTGTTTCATTTTTAGGTGAACTATTCCTTTAATGAAAGTGTTTGCATTGTGACTTAATGTAATGCTAATAATATGATTGTCTTTTCTTCTTCAGTCAAGGTGTATCATATTTTGTATGGAACCAGAAAATGCATGGCTTTTTGCTTTGAGGTGAATAAAAAGTCAGTTTTCCCTGTTGTTACTCATGGTAAAGAGGTCAAATTTAAGGTAATGTCTCAGACACTGAATTGCAAAGAAATCATTTATTGTTAGACGTGGTATCAAATACATTCTTGTGCTTTTATTTGATAATTTCTGATTTTATATAATGGCTCTCACGTATACAGGTTTTACCCACAGACAAGCCGATCACGGCAGGAATCTTTGACCAAACGTTCTTATTTCAATGGGATGAGCAAGACAGGCATGGAGACTGGAAGAGTTTGAAATCAGTGGCTGAACCCAGCATGTACTTGATTGATGAAGAAAATGGCAAAGAAAAGAGCAAAGTGATCATCACAAATGAGCGGAGTCCGATTTTTAAAATCTGTTACTCAGATATGAAAATAGGTAATTTTGCCAAATGTTTGTGAGTGGAATATTGTACTTTGTGCATATTTAACATGTTTATGTTAAACTGAAGTGATGTTCTGCATTCTAGCAGGTTTAACACAATACATTGTAAAAACTACATAGCAAGGGACTCATCCATCCATTGATTTTCTAAAACATAGCAGATAATGGGTTGCAGAGTCTCTGTAGATCAGGCAAATTCCAAGAGAACACGATGAAAACTTCATGCAGAAAGACCCCCTGGCAAAGACGAGCCTCAAAACAGGGACCTTCTTGCTGCAAGAGAGCAGCACCCACTAAGCCACTGTGCTGCCCTGAAAGGTAACTATTCTTATTTGTAGACTTCACGTTTGTAAAGAGCACTGCTATAAAAAGTGCTATATCGTTGTATATCGTTTCAGACACCCAAAAATGCTTTTAAAAAAGTGAATAACTTATACCATAAAGATATAATTTATGATTGTCTCATTGACTGTTCTTTAAAAAACACTTTTGAGCATATTTAAACAAGCCTTGAAATAGTGAGTAGGCTATTAGTACGCAGTATCCTCTCCAATTTCATTTACTTGCTTTTTATGCTGATCAACTTCCATCGACATTAACCCTGTAAAGCCTGACATGAAATAACAGCCTGAAAAAAATCACATTTTTTGAAATGGAACACTTTGTTGAGCCTTTAGACAAATAAAAAAAAAGTGTCAGGCTTTTATGGAAAAAAAGCACCTCAATTTTATTTACAGGCTCAAAAATATGTAATTTGGTACAATTGCTGATGGATCATATTTGATACTTGTGATTTTTCATGTATGAATAATCAAGTAAACCTAAGTTGCTTAAGTTCATTAAAGGTGAACTAAGCGATTTTTGCCAAATGATGTTGATATTTGAAAGCACCAAAACAAACATGCCCATACCCCAACAGGCCCCCGCCCCTATTTTGATAACTCCGCCCCACACGTACGTACACAACCCTGCCAGCGACGATGGCGGTATCTGCTATGCCTGCCGACCGCAGCATATTCGAACAAAAGCCAACACAGAATAGTCGTGTGAAAAAGCAAAATCAATGTAACTCACCTATCAAAGCAACCTCGGCGTCCCATTCCCTTCCGCTCTTTTGAGTTCTCTCCACCGCTGGAAGCTGCTCCAAAATTTACGCGGTTGCCAAATAATTTTAATGGGAAGTTGCTAAAGGAAGGTTGATTTGTTGCTAAAAGTTGCTAAATGACGTTGTGATGCCATTGTGCGATGATGTCATCACGAAGCAAAATCGTGTCACTACATCAAATCTCAGCAAAAAATATAATTTATATATGTTAATTTCGATTTGTTCGTAAAATAATATAAATGCATAATATAATAATATTAAAATATAAATAACTGTATTTTTAAATACAACATTAAATTACTGAACACTTACACATTTTTGAACAATTACAATTAAATTTTTTTTTTATTAGTAAATTTTTTTTATTAGCACATTCTGAACAATTAGTTTTAAGCAGTGTATTAGTAGTTTGTTAGTATGCTACACTCTAAGAAAAGCCTGTAAAAATAGTCTACTATGTTAATATGAAGACATTTTCCATATTGATTTTTCACAGGTTTTTTTTACCTACATTTTAAATTCCGCATTGTATTTAGATGTATTTCTTTTTTTATTTACATATTGTATTTTAACTTTTTTGACAAAATAAGCACATCTTATTTCTGTATTATACATTGACTAAATAATATAGGCCTATATGTATGACTACCAAATAAACATGTATTTTCTGGTTTATTTGGCTTGTTGTGAATGAATGACAATGTAGAGAAAGTGAAAAAGATTATCAGCTGCCCTTACACAAATCTCAAAACTAACAAATATGGCATTTTTAAAAATTCTTTTTAATTCAATCTTTATTTGTTTGTGTTTATGTGTGTGTGTGGGGGTCTGTGCAGGAAGGAGAGAGAGAGTACAAATATACGCATTTTAGCTTGTTTCACTATAAATATGAGAGCATACATGGCAACATCCTCTTTTTGGCTAATTTAGATGGAAAATGTGTGCCTTTTTATGATTTGAGTCACTTATCAAAAGTTGCTAAAAGTTGCCAAATAAATAAATAAAATAAAAAAAGCTAAATTTGTTGCTAGGTGCTTTTGGAAGAAAAAGTTGCTAGGGTAATCTGAAAAGTTGCTAAATCTAGCAACAAAGTTAATAAATTGGCAACACTGGTTCTGTGCACTCACTGAGCGCTCGCTTCTCTACTAGACACGCCCCTTACTGCTGATTGGCAGCGAGTGTGCTTTGGGACTCAGTCCGACACTGGTCAAAAGGGTTTTTCCAAATATTGCTTAGTGCACCTTTCATTAAGTGTTCATCTTGAAATATTAATAACAATATAAAAGTTATTTTTATGGTTACGTTTTTTTTTAAATCATCAAGATTTCACAGCAAAAAGACATGCGTTCCATGATCTGAAGGGGGACAGTTATTATACTAAGACCTTTTGCTTGCTAAAAAAGTATAAACTATGAAACAGATAACAGAAGGCATGTAGTAGATTGTGTACAACAGGTTTTTGATCATGTTGATCATTTATTGGCCTTTGAATTTTGAGTATCAAATAAGATGATGATAGCCTACTAAAGGGAATCTTTCTCATTTTCAATCTTTCACAGCAAAACCAAGAGGATGTAATATCAGTGAAGAGCTGAATGCGTTTCACACGTTTTCACCAACAAAAGGGCTCTGATCAGTCTGCATCTGCTGCAGGGTCCTTTTCTTTGATGGATGCTGAGAAAATGTGAGAGCAAGTGGAGTGATTCCTTCCTGGTTCTTTGAGGCATGGCATTTTATCCATTTATTTGCATGTTTGCCTTTTTGTCGTAACCTATTAAATATTACTGACATGCAGTTTTAGGTTCAAAATCAGTTGCATTATTACTATACAAACGCAACTGGCACTGTTTAGTTTGTCACAATGAAAGTATTTGAGCTAATAATTAGCCTACATGGCTTATCAAAATGTTTAAATAAGCCAAAGACGTTACACAGGAACCTAACCCTTTAGTGTCATATCTTGTGAATCACATGCCTTTCTTTCACTTTTAACTGTTAAAAAACTATTTGTGTTGCTTAATATTCTTGTTGAAACCGTGATATACTACCATTTAAAAGCTTGTGCTAAGTAAGGAAGAAATTATTTGAAATTGTAATAATATGTCACAATTTTATCATTTTTAATGTACGATTTTTGTTGCTTAATATTCTTGTGGAAACCGTGATGAAATTGAGGTCCTGCTGTCGGAGGTAGAGGTTCGTGCGGGGACGCTTTTTATTTAATGTGTAATTATTCTGTGGACAAACTGTGTGTGTTGTTCAACATTACTACTTCTAGAAACAACAGAAATAATAATAATAATAATAGTAATTATAAAATAATTAGGTTTCCAAATGTAAGAATAAACTACGAATTCAAGTAAAATTCAGTCATCTTATAAAAAGTGAGCCATCCTACTTTTAAAATCACTTGCTATGACAACTAATGAAAAGTTTAATATCACAAAATTCTTGCACAATTAAAAAAAAACATTATTGAAAGAAAAAGTGGACGTTTCATATCATAATAAAATTAATTATTACACGATTATGGTCTCCGGTCTGAAAAAAAACCTGCATGTGATTTGGCATTTCTTTATATTTACAGAGTTTACTAATGCTGCTCAAATGTGCCATTAGCTAAATATAGCCCTGGAAAGCCGGCAGTGCACAGAAGAGCTTTTCTGTCATGAGTCACATCCCTCTGATGCCCTGCTGATCATCACACGCTCCTCTTTCTAGTGATAGTGATGGAGTACTTGCTTCCAAATCACAATCCCTGTCCACTGTTCTGAATTATTTGTAGGTACTCATTTTGATAGACACTTTTATCCTAGGTAACGTATGACCTGCATCTAAAGAAATGTTCCATATTGGCAAATCAAAAAGTGAACACGGTAACAAATTTGTTATTTACAAAAATGTCCTTAAAATGTCCTTGAAACATGGCCCTGCAGTACTGTGAGTATTGTTAGCTCTTGTTTGATAAAGTGCTTGTCAATAGAATAGAATGGAATAGAATAGAATAGAATGAGGAATTTGTTGTGGTTTCCATGAGTTCTGGGCAAGGTTGTTAACTAAAACCTTAAAGAAATGTATTGAAATATATATATTTCTAAACAAAATAAAGTAACAAAAAACAAAAGGAAAACAGAAAATATAAAATATAAAAATATAGTATATTATATTATTATATAATATAAAAATTTTAATTCAAAATATTAACAAAAACTAATATATTGTGAAACTAATATGTAGCCAATGGGAAGTGGAACTATTGTTAACTGCTCTGCCTGGCACATAAGCACTGCAAGGTGAATGGAGATCTCTCAGGATTAGTGGATTGAGTGTGACTGTTCAGTATGAAGCTCTCGGCACAGTCTGAATGAACAGAACTGAATGTCCTGTAAAAGACAAATCATAAAAAGCCCATCACCTTCAACTCAACCTTGCCAAGACAGAACTGCTTGTGGTTTCAATAAACCCATCACTTCATCACAATTTCACCATCCAGTTAGGCACATCAACCATAACTCCTTCAAAGACAGTCAGAAACATTGGAGTTATGATTGATGATCAGCTGAATTTCTCAGACCACATTGCTAAACATGCCCAGTCCTGCAGATTTGCTTTATACAACATTAGGAAGATCAGGCCCTTTCTTTCAGAACATGCAACACAACTCCTTGCTCAAGCTCTTGTTCTATCCAAGCTGAACTATTGCAATGCTCTCTTGGCAGGTCTTCCAGCCACTTCTATCAAACCTCTACAATTAAT